GCATGTTGGAATTCTTCTCCAGGAAAGATTACTTTCAATCGTAGTTTTGCTGTCCTTTGGCTTGAGCGAGAAAAGTACACTCTGTGCACGTCGTCAGGGATCCCCAGCGAGGGAGGTCGTAATCAGTCGCTGGAGAGAGGGGGGGTCATATGTTGGAAAAATTTTCCACGACGACAGAATGTGTCCTGCGTGCACTACACGTGCACCTAAGTACAATTTGTCGATGGTGCTCAGAGGGACTTGTTATATAGTGAATTAGCATTGCTTAAAGGCAGTTGGCACGATAAATCCTCCAAGACGAGTAGGATTAATACGCCTGGCAGGACGGAATTCCGCGCCCCTGAGCAGGCGCTGCGTAGCGCCTTTTCCAAGAAAGGTACCCTTATAAGGCCCTATCAAGCTGCAACATACCGACCCGAACGCCCCACGCCCGCCCGCCCACAAATGGACGACCGTTCCTGACGCTCTAATCGATTCATTTGCTAAGCAAATTATGAAGCGAAGGGATTGGTATGAAGCGGCCGTGATGCTGCATGGATATATGAGTACACATATGCAGCCGTACCTTCGGTAGCGGTTATTGGCAAGATGCCTACAGGAAACTCGTCCAAAATTGATTTCTAACACATTGAGAACGGAGGCTCTTTTTCGCAGGATTTTGACCGTTTCACTCCGTTCTTTCGCCATTTCCCCACTATATAGCGCCCTACTAGCATTTTAGGCCGAGCACCAAATCATCGTGCCAACTGCCTTTAAAATTGTTGTGAAGCACACTAGCTTTGACGAACACTCAACCCGCTGCTGATAAAGAAGCCTCTAGCTCGCGTTAGTGGAGTTGGACAAAATTCCTCGCGCGCAGACAAAGTGGACTTCGATACCTTAAAATGTCCCCACTAGTGCCCCGACTTGACCGATGTGTTCAAAATCTCAGTTTGGCATTGGATTTGCCCACTGAGGCAGCTTGATCTGTTGTCTACAAATATCGTTTCCCCTTACGTGAGAGCCTAGATTCCACAGATTTGCAGAAAACCTGGCTCAAGAGTAGTCTGTCATAAACACGAGCATCATATAGCATCGTTCGTTGCGGGAGATGGGGCGTCCCGGGAGCGTGGAACTGGCTTTGACGCTCCGTCATTCCCGTTCTCCACCAATCGCGGCAGCTGGCACCAATTGGTGGAAACTGGCTAACCCCACTCCCTCCCCTCCTGGAAGATCACAATCTTTGCAAGGAACAAGATTGTAATCATTTTGAAAATGTTATCTTATACATTTTGATGAAAAATACTTCTTCGAGAATTCCCGTGCTGCATGATTAAGACCTTGCTTTATCTTTCTTTTTTTGCTTTTTCTTCTCACAGACGGAATTCGAACCCGCATCTTCTGCTTAGCCGGGCAGTTGCGTTACCTATTACGCTAACCTCTCAGCTCAATGGCTATTTGTGCCATTGCCTTCGAGCACTCACACGTTCAACGTGATGAGCCGGTTAGCCGATATCGGCAGTGAACCGCAAGGCTGAAGGCTTTTTACAAGTTTCAAGCTGTTATTGTTTAGTAACTGCTGTTTAACGCCGCAGTGCGCGATCCGAAAGCTATCACAAGAATGCTGAGTTATGGGCAAAAGTCGGACCACGGACGGGCCATTTGTGAATTATCAGGGTGATTATCAAGGTGGTTATCAAATTATTGATGAGTCAAACTCACTCCAAGCAGAGGTATTGTGGCGAAATTGGTGAGTACGACGAGCACACTATGTACAGCGTAACATAAGCAGAACATGGCTGATCGGTACTGTAGGGGTACCAACTCAGGTGAGATAAACCATGCAACCGGTCCGACACCGACCCTAAATAAGTTTACTACTTGGTTATTGGATAAAAGGTCGAGAAAAAATTAATCATAAATGGCGCGTTCGACTTTAGAAGCGTTCTACAAGCTTATTCAATAACAATGGCTCCTGAAGACTAGTTCATAGAACATTCCAATAGAATGGATCGACTATTATTTCATCTACTATCCTCCTGCCCCCTCAGTTAGCTCAGCAATTAGCCAACGAAGATAAAATTTTCTCGCTTTTGAAATCGATGCAGATAAATAGCATCTCGAAAAAAGCAATTGATGATGGAATTCTGCGACTGGGCGGCGCTGCCTAGGCCTCTTCCAAGAATAAGTTCTCATAAGGCCTTGTCAAGCTGCAACATAATGGCCCAAAGGCCCACCGCTCCGCCCACTCACAAATGGACGACCGTACCTGATGCTCAGTTTGCTTCATTTGCAAAGTAAAATATGAAGCGAAGGGATTGACATGAAGCGGCGCACGATGGTGCATAGATACATGAGTACATATGTGCAGCCGTAGCTACCGTAATGATTGTTGGCAAATGCCTACGGGGAATTCGTCCAAAATTGCTTTTTTAGTGATTAAGAACGAAGGCTTCTCTTCGCACGTTTTTGGCACAGTTTCAGTTCGTTTTTTTTGTTCCCGACTATTTTTGCCGATCTACAAGAACACGTGCTAGGCAATAAGCCCGAGTGACTGCTATGCGCTCTTTAATATGTTACGATTATTTTTAACAATCCACCCCATATGACACAGATAAATCAAATAACAGCCGCCATACGCAAGGTATTTGAAGCCACATTCGGCAGCAAAACTCGACAAAAACAATAGTGAGCGATATCAATGCATTTGACACCGGCTGTCAGCAACATCCGCCTCTTGAACAAAAAAATTAATCAGTTGTAGCCATTACTAGTTTAGGCAGAACATGAACACCGGCGGAGCCACTCATCATTGCGGTTCGAAGTAGGTACCCCACCATGGCAATCTGGGGCCTTCACCGTGACACGACTCTGGGGGCTGACAACAGCCTGGTCTTCGAGACAAAGATTCTTCCTAACTCTCCATCCGTGCCTCTATGACCCCCAAGATCCAATCGCTTAACCCTGCAATTGCATAATGATTGAATAAAATGTACCGGAAATCCGATGCGGAAAATGAGACTCTTTCTGCCACTTGTCCACGCCGCCTAGGGTTGCTCAGTGGGGTCGAATATGCCAAATAAAGATTTCTTAGTTCGTACACTATGTGTCCACTATCATCGTAGAATTTTGCCCATCTTTTAGCGATTTTTTCCCCCGAACCAAGATCTATGGAAACCGAACCTTCTTGGAAGCTTATCAACAATACACGTAGATGTGATGCAGGAACAGGTGAGAAGTACCATCAACAAGGAAGACGAAAGTTGTGCAATGTTGCTGTAAAGGACACCATCAGATCTGTACAGAACTTTTAATTTCACAACAGACTCTCACTTTGGAACTTGAAGGTGTGTGAAGAAGTGGGTGCTGTTTTGTAGAATTGGATAGAATGGTAGGGTCAGAATAAGGACGGCAACGGAGATTGCGAAGGCGCCCCGCAGATGTTTGGTGGTAAGGACGGCCTGAAATTCGTGCCACGTTTTAACATTTGCAACATTTGCGTTATGTCAAGTGTATTGAGTGGGTACCTTGATCCCTCCTTCAGGCTCCTTCACTTCGGTGTTTTTACTCTCCAACTTGAAGGTTTGTCAGTTCATCTTGTAGACCTTCACGACGACCCTGGTAGAATCTCAATGATTTCATTGCAGCAGTTGGATTTTGCCTGAAATTTTTTTTCCTCACTTAAAACACCATATGTTTGGAAAGCTAATCCAAGCAGACTGGCCTCGATATCATGAGAAATTTTGGAGTTTCTGGCATAAGCACAATCGCCAAGGTAGAGAGCACACCAGGAATTACTGGTACGAACAGAAGTAGAGACAGCGAGTGACCTGAAAGGAGAGCACGGATAAACGATGAAAATCGTAGCGCTACCCATCAATGCAGTTGAGAATAATTACTGAACTTTGAAATTAAGAGCGTGCACGCCAAATGCTACAGAAAATAAGGATATTTGTCCTAAACGGAACTTTTTCCACAATTGCGCAAGCGAAATTTCCTACGATTTCTAGGCCGCGTTAGGGAAAGGGAGCGCTCCCACAAGTTTTAAACTCCCCCCTCCGTGGTTAATCATTCTCACAAACGACTCATACGACAATGGACACTTGCGATATGTGCGAATTGTGTATAATAATCTCCACCGTTGACTCTATACTACTTTTGGGCTCGTGTTAGTTGTTAAGGTGAAGTTGTATGTCTTTTTTGAGTTCATTCCCATTTTACTAGAAGCTTTGAAGGCCAATCAGATACCGAAGAAGCATAATTTACCGAGCACGTCCTCATGGCCTAGTAACGCTCCACAAAGGCACATTACAGCGTATCCGGTGGAGTAGAGCGATGACATTGTTCCTCTCAGACTTGATGGCGATATCTCCTAAAATTATGCAGTGAATGAAGGATAGTG